TTGGGCCTTGTTGGGCCATGTTGAGCCTTGTTGGGCCATATTGGGCCTTGTTGGGCCATGTTGAGCCTTGTTGGGCCATATTGGGTCACGCTTGCCTCCCTCATGCTGCTAACACGCACCACTACACCCTTTTGTGTGGCTACAAATTTACAAACGCATATTAGAAATATTATCTTGCTTGACAGTGCAAATGCCAGACATTTTACTGTTATTTTATAATCTCAGGTCCTGTACTTTAACCTCTTCCACCTGCTGTCCCTTCTAATTAAGCTGTGGATACAGCAACTGCAGATAGTATTAATATTCAAGCAGTACAACACACTAGAGCATGGGATCAGTACCTGGGGTCCGTAGATGGTTGCAGGAGGTCAAGAGAAACATCATACTGTCTATAAATATTCAAAGAGAACCGCTCCCCCATACACACACAAAGAGAAAGAAATTAAAGTCCCTCTCCCCCCCGGTCTTTCGTTCAGAGTTACTTATGAGATCATGCATTTGCGGTAGTGATTCCATAGCTCTGGATTTTTTCATTTCGGTGTTCCTGTTTTAATAATCCCCTCCGCTAAAGTAAGGGTTCCCAGTCCCTGGTCGGTGGACCAGTACCGATCCATGGCAAGTGTTCTGCCGGGCCCTGGAACGCTGCAGTTGGACTTGCCACCTTCTCATATATTATGGGATTAGTCTTTGTTTTATAATTTTATTGCAGTTTCTAATACTTATTATATCTGATATTTTACGTTCTTGTCTTGTGTCTCTTGTGTGACCGTTTAGTAGTAAAATGAGCAATTTCTTCCGGGATCAATAAAGTTTTTCAGATTCTGATTCTGATTCTGATCGTCTCATATCGAGAAAGAAAAAGCCATGATCCATGCAAAAACCACAATTTTTTCTACATTTTCATACATATTCCTAACCCCCCTATGTTCAGCAAATGCTATGATTGTATACATAGTATTTCAGCATAATCTAAACAGCAGTCTAACTCACTTCAGCGCTACGGCTTGTGGGACCGCGAGGGTGCCCTAGAGGAGGAGAAGAGTCAGCAGCCCCAGGAAGGAGGTGGTGAGGAAGCAAGGCCTCTGGTCAGCCCTGAGCAGGACACAGCAAGCCCAGAAGGGGTTAATCCGCATGAGGACAAGACGGCCAAACCTGAGCAGGGCCAGGAGGAGGGCGTGCTGTCCGGCGCTGCCGAGGCCCTGCCAGAGGAGCCGGAAGCCAGGAGCAAGAGCAGCAGGCTGCACTTCCGAAGACGGAAGAAGCAGAGCAAAGGTGAGGTTCTCACAGTGGCCAGCTCTGCCACATCCATGAGGAGACGAGGGTGTTCAGACAGTGATTCTGAACACCCATGGGGAGATGCAGGTGTTTAGGTGGATCCTGAACACCCATGGGGAGACGCAGGTGTTTAGGTGGCTCCTGGACACCCATGGGGAGACGCAGGTGTTTAGGTGGCTCCTGGACACCCATGGGGAGACGTGGCTGCTTAGTGGATCCTGAACACCCATGGGTAGATGCGGGTGTTTAGGTGGCTCCTGGACACCCATGACGAGATGCGGGTCTTGGGGCGGTGAGCAGATAGCCAAACATCTGTCCAGAGAGTTCCACTGTAGACTTTTTTTTTTGTCCTCGCAACAGATGCCAAAGACGTCAAAGAGCCCAAGAGGAAGCCAGCGGGCAAACGCAAGGAGGCGGCAAGCAGAAAGTTAAAAGCGGTCGGAGAGGGATTTAAACGTCTTTTCATTTCACTGTAAGCATAAACCCTGCCTGTTACCAGCCTGTGGCTGTGAGAGTGTATTGGTACTGCTAACAATCATCTATTTGTCATGTTGATGCATGTCCTATGTAACCTGATCATAGTCATGTGAGCGTGTAACAATGTCACCTATTATTTGAGTAATTTTAAGTTGTTTTTATTGCCACTATGTGGTGTTGTGCAACGTTATTAGCATCTTAGAAAAGCTACGTTAGATGTGTCGTGTGTGTGCCGATGCTAATGGGGATAGAAACCTGCTTTATAGATAGATTCTATCGCTAACATTAAGCTTTCCTTGCCCGGCTCTCTGAAGAGTGCGCAACACCTATACGCCGGTCCATGGCTTCTTCCATGACATCCTCCATGCCGAGTACCGCGCTGCAACCGACGTCTACGCCTTGATGTTCCTCACTGACGTGGTGGACTTCATCATCATCGTATTTGGATTCTGGGCCTTTGGAGTAGGTATCCCAACACATGCTATTACTGCTCTGATGTCTTCTCTGATCTACTATCCAGTGAAACTAGTACAGAAGGGGGAGATTAAGAGTGGGGAGGGTAATTTTGCATACTTAAAGCGAAGAGAAATTGCTTACAGCTGTGACACAGTCTATAGTGTGGTATAATGGATGGAGCCAACCATATGGTCAACATCCTCACAGCCCAAGGGTCTCATTTATCAGCCATGCCTACAAACAGTTTTGTGCGTAAACCAAGCATGTGCACATTTTTACGCATAGAATGGTATTTATCAAATTCTCCCCGTGCATAAAAATGTGCATACGCACAAACCCCTACCAGCAGAGAAGCATAACTGAATCAAATCGATTGGCACAGACACTTATGAACCTAGATAGATTGACAAATTGAACGGTATAGTTATATCCACACGAAGTTTGCGCAGGCGTTCCAAAGTCATAAGGTCCATGGATAAAGAAATATCACTATCACTAAATACAGTTTAATAGGTGTCAAGATATGCATAATCGAGTAACATGCGATCGCATTTAGATCCGAGGTCCATAATAAGTAATATGTACTCATCAGGAGTCCCGTGAAAGCGGACGTAGTCGGATGTTAGTGGGCGTATCACTTATTGGTGTAACAGGACCAGGAGAATGGGCAGCGCTGCCAGCTGTATAATAACCTACTGTCTGGGTCTGACTTGTACCACCAAAGCATGGGCCTTTGACTTGTAATACACTGCATACAGTGATATGTATGTGATGGACAGCTGCAATAAGCAGGTATGATGCAGATGCAGTTGGTTAGATAAAAAGGAACTTACTGTGCTTCAGGGACCACTGTGTGGTACCATGCACATCTTTTGAATTCATAGTGCAATTCATGCCTTACCTTGCTTAAGTGAAGTCTCTTTTTATTATGAAGTGTTGTGATTTTATATTTGCTGCAGAGAACTGTATATATTATACGGAATGAACTGCGTGTGTCACCTGTCCCTGTGCTAGGTCCTTCTCTTTCTTTCACTGGCTAATGGTAAAGTTGTTAAACAATACGTATTTGCTTCTGTATTTGCAGTTACAAAATAATGCAAGCCTATAGTGCAAAATATATTACGAACAGGAATAAGGACCTCAGCTATATGTTTGTTCCTGGTGCCCATTTCTGTAACGCATTCTCTTATTGCTCGGTTCAACGTGCATTATGCAGAAGTTATATGTCCATTTATGGGTCATTGAGGGAGTTTCTATATTTTAATTAGTCTTGCCGTGCACGCCCAGTCACATTTAGAATACATTCACTACATAAGGCTATTCGCACACACAGGTGATAAATCCCAATTTGCCTGTGCGTACCAGAGATTTCATACGCACACTTTGATAAACGAGACCCCAACCCTACCTTGGGCTTCGCCCTGATGGTGGGCAGCCCCTTGACTGTCACCCCATGTGCCTCCACTTTCAGAAACACTCTGCAGCAGCAGATATTGCCTCCTCGTTGTCAGAGGACCAGGTGCCCGAAGCATTCCTGGTCATGCTGCTGATACAGTTCAGCACCATGATCATCGACCGTGCACTCTACCTGCGCAAGACAGTCCTGGGCAAACTCATCTTCCAGATCATCCTGGTCTTTGGCATTCACATCTGGATGTTCTTCATTTTGCCTGCTGTTACCGAAAGGTGAGGATGGGGAGGGTCTGGGTAGATGCTCATTGATCTCTGAGAGTAGAATTAGTCTAAATTTAATCCAATGCAGGGCTGCTCACAATAGACATACAGAATGAAATGTGACAGCCAGAGACTCCTGTCACTCGTTTAGTCCATTCATCTTAAATCCTGTATTCTAACTTCACTGATCCCAAGATGGAGCACAGTGAGGCAGTCACAGTGAGGCAGTCACAGTGTGCTGGCCGGTCTCTGTCAGTATGTTAATTTGGGCAAAGAAACTCATTGCATCATGAATAAATGCACCACCTACAGAACAACCTCTTAACATTCAGGACACTTTGCAAAATAGTCTCCGTTCAGAATTACTCGATTTACTTGACAAACTACTCCTCGAGAACGCGACAGGGAAGAGAACGTGGCTGGAGGTTTTGTTCCTCCTCATTCTGTGCGACGGGGGGAGCATCCTGAGTCACCAGTTATCATTATGAGGGACTATGAGCTACTTAAATGGCAGATTATCAAGTGTCCTACTAGTGTGGGTAAAACACTGGAGCACTGTCACCATACTGTAAAGGATGCCTTCCGTCCTCAGGGACCACTGGGCAATTCTGATCATCCAGTGGTTCAGTTATTGACTGCATACAAACAGAAACTAAAAGCAGTTAAACCAGATAGGATATCAACTCGGAGTCGGACCACTGCAGCCACTGGGGAACTGAGAGTTTGGGAATTCGCCTGTGGTGATGACTTTAATGAGTACACTGGCATTCTCACATCCTGCTTCTGTTTTGTGAAGATAACAAGGACAAACCACATTTCACTAAATAGCTGAGAACTTTGCCCCAGGGAGGGGGAGGCCTACATGAGTGGGGGTCGTGAGAGCTACTAGAAGGCAAAATCAGAATCGGTATAAAAATCATCTGAACAGCAACTCATCTGCTGTTTGGATGATGCTTAAGAACAGTCACAAACTTCAAGAAGAAATCCCCCCATGCATCTGCTGACTCATCAAAACCCAACGAACTTAACATCCTTTACTACTAATTTGATCAAGGAACTCTCTGTGACTACTGTTCAAACTGCCAGACAACTAACGACTGCGATTCTCACCTCTGGTCATCTGGGCCAGCACTCACCACCAACTGTACCCCCCTCTGTCCGTAATCACACCTCCTCACCCATCATCACTCATCAAAGAGCAAGACGTTTGCAGGCTGTTCAGGAAAGCTGCACTGGTCACTGATGCATTTAAACACTTCTGGGAGCAGTGCAGAGATCCTGTTCTAAAGAAGAAGATAACTGGTTTTAAAGATTACAGATCCATTTCACTTGGGCCTTTCACTTCTAGACCCTCTCCAGTTTGCCTACATGGTCACCATCTCTTCCGAAAATGGCATCAGCACTAGCTACCAGCCCTCATAATCAGATTCTTACTGCTACCTTACCGAATGATCTTCGCACAATATGCCTAACCATCTGCCATGAACATGTCCTGTCTGCCCTTGTGTTGTACTATTTGTAGTTTCCTTGTCTGTGCTTTGTGTTGCATTTATTATACTGTGCTATTTCTGTATCAATGTGTGATGTATGACCAGAATTACCAAAGTAAATTTCTTGTGATTCCTCTGATTCTGATATGGCTTACAGGAAGAAAGTAACGTCCATCACTTTTCCTGGCTCTCTGCAGGATGTTCAGTCAGAACTCCGTGGCCCAGCTGTGGTACTTCGTCAAGTGCATATACTTCGCCCTCTCTGCCTATCAGATCCGCTGTGGCTATCCCACTAGGATTCTGGGAAACTTCCTCACCAAGAAGTACAACCACCTCAATCTGTTCCTCTTCCAGGGGTGAGTCTGTGAAATGCCACTGTTCGTGGCAGGGATAATCTGATCCAGTCCAGGCTTGGGGAGTAGGTTGCAGATTATGGGTGGGTGCCAGTCTGAGGATCTACAGGATGTAGGTTCAACTACTGGAAGGGGCAGTGGTTTATCATAGGGTGAGAGGATTCAAATCGTAAACATGCAGAACACTTAGATCATTTTTGCAAGATGCTGTGGGGTGACTGAATCCCAAGTGAATGCGATTCCTTTTCTTCACATTCTGCTGATTTAAACATTTGTTCACACCTCCTTCGCTCTGTGTTTAAGCCATGTGTTTGCGGATGTAGAGAGAAATCTGCACAGTAGATGTGGAATAAAAACGGGATACAGAACCATCGTCAAAGGTGACGATCATTTTAACACCACGAAATTCACTAGCACATGCGTTGTTTGTCAGGCAGTCGTCTTTTTCATCTGTTGATTTGTGCTGTCTACGTGGCGTGCTTCATGTGTGTCACTGTCTGCATGCCATCTTAATGTTCCTTTCTTCTTCATGGGGATTATTTTAAGGCTGTATTCAGCCCTGTACAACACGTGCTACAGACCTTAATGCATTTGATTGGCTCCCAACCAACAGCTACAAGTCAGTTTGGTGTTTTTGTTCTTTATTTAATTTTAAGCGAAAAGTCAGACTTAATGTGATGTTTTAGGGGCTGGAAAGACAAGGAAATCAGTCAGAACAGAACAGGGCTTCTTTGTATGGGCACAGTTTGAAATGGAAAAAAAGAAGCATTTTATCTGTGTAATTTGCTGTGGGAAGCAAGAGGAAATGCAAAAATGTAGGATTTCTGCATTTGGATATGGTCGCTCTGCTTGTGCATGGCTGTGTAAGATGAATGTCATCTGTTGTATTCTGTGTCGTAATCTGCAATCTGAAAAGTACGTAAAATATGCACATTGTTAGGTTCCGCTTGGTGCCATTTTTGGTGGAGCTACGAGCTGTCATGGACTGGGTGTGGACAGACACCACCCTATCTCTCTCCAACTGGATGTGCGTGGAAGACATCTATGCCAACACCTTCATCATTAAGTGCAGCCGTGAGACGGAGAAGGTGTGGTGTCCTTTTGCTATGATCTACTGACCTTTAAGTCTCAAACATCTTCCTTCACCTCTTAATGATTAGTCTAATTGAAAGGTGTTCATTCTCTGCTACCATCATCACTCTCATATGCTACATATTAAGGCATTTTTTTGGGGTGATATGCAGCTTAATTGTTGTGTTTTTATTCCAGAAATACCCTCAACGAAAGGGTCAGAAGAAGAAGAAGATTGTGAAGTATGGGATGGGGGGACTCATCATCGTCTTCCTCATTTGCATCATCTGGTTTCCACTGCTTTTCATCTCATTGGTCAGATCTGTTGTGGGTGTGGTCAATCATCCAGTGGACGTTACAGTTACTGTCAAGCTTGGAGGTTATGAAGTAAGTTATGGGGGGGGGCATTTAGTTTAGCATGACTCCAGTGTCTCATCCATCTGCTTACACAGTGTTTTAGCTGATGAACGTCGCAGTCTTGGCATCCGTTAATTAGCATAAGCAATTACTTTCCTCCCGAGGTTGTCATGTGACACCTGCTATCCTCCACAGCCCCTGTTTACCATGAGTGTACAGCAGCAGTCTATCCAGCCCTACACTGAGGACGACTACAACAAGCTTTCAGACAAGTTCAGCAAAAATGCTGTGAGTGTGGGCTTCTCTTGTTAATTTTACCACCTTCCTTTCCTTTTTCAGTGCATGGTTTTATCCAAAGTAACTGTTTCAGGTACTATAAGTTCTTATCTTTACACTTGGCTACAGAAGTATGACAGCAGGTTAATTTCCAAATTTCATGCACTTCCTGTTACGCTCTCTTCAATGCTTTTCTTCACAGTATTAATAGTTGTCCTCTGAGGAGACACGTGGATGACGGAGGGTTTTGTATGTCCATTCAGGTGGCAATGCAGTTCATCTCTCTGTACAGCTACGAGGACGTCGTCACCGCCAATATTGAGGGCAGCTCAGGATCAGTCTGGCGGATCAGCCCCCCCAGCAGGCAAGAAGTCATCAAGGAGTTGCTGGGCAGTCCCATGGACATGACTCTACGTTTGACTTGGGACTTCCAGAGGTTAGTGTATTGTGAGACTGGGCGAGAACGGGTGTGAGAAAAGGTGCTGTTTATCGAGCACCAGATGCATCACAAGCCCCGAACGATTCCAAAGCTTGGAATTATTTGTTTAGCTCAAATGTTTTAACAACCGTGCTTTGCGATGAATCCCATATACCACAACAGTCCTGATCCAGGGCTGCATTTACGAAATCCTTCACAGTGCTGCAGCAGATGGACCTTTGCACAGATTTGGTCTCTGGGTTAAGCCCCTGGCATGTTTAAGATCCTAGCAATGCCCCTGTTGAAAATCAGGACAGGTGTTTTTTAGTCCTGTGACAGAACACTGATTCTATCTTTGAACACATCGTTGACCAATATCCTGTTTTGTGTTCCCGAACAGGGACTTGGGAAAGGGTGGCACAGTGGAGCACACGTCAGACACGCACTCCATCGACCTGGCGCCCGATGACCCCGTCCGAGCCGAGCTGGCTTCGCTGCTGGTGGGAAATCGGTCGGACCCAGTGTACGTACCGCCCCACAAGCTCCACCTCAACCACCAAAAGCCACTGGATGTGATGCATCTTGACGTGATGCTGTTTGTTTTTGTTTGGTAGACTTGTTCCTCATATGTTCCCCAACTACATCCGGGCGCCTAATGGAGCAGAGGCGAAACCTGTTAGCCAGCTATACGAGGGTGAGTATCAAATGTAATGCAGCTCCTTTGTTGTTTGGGTGCTAACCCACTTCCCCGTAGTATAAAGCAAGTAAACATTGTCAATGATGTGGTTTTCTACCAAGGTACATTTGTGCCCTTGTAGAACAGCACAACCAGGCTGTATTCTGGGAATTTTTGTACTGGAAACAGTAACTGAAATATCATGACGTCAGCTGTCACCACCCATGTCCCGTCCCATCCAGGTGATGAGGAGGGGTATGAAAGCGTGACTCTCACCTTGCTAAACGGCAGCGGCACGCTTGAGTGGTGGGACATTAGCATCGCCGGCTGCAGCAAGTTTCAGGGGGGCTGTCAGGTCCTTCCCATGGTCATCTTCAATGACAAAGTCAGCCCGCCAAGCCTGGGCTTCTTGGCAGGATACGGGTATGGAACTCCCCTAGGGGAACCCTCACGCAATGTGTGTAAACCAGTGTTTCCCAACATGGTCCTCAAGGAGCCCCAGACAGTACATGTTTTTGCTCCCAAAAAACATATCTGGGGGTCCCCAAGGACCAGGTTCGGAAACACTGGTGTAAACCATTTCACCCAAATCCACTATGAGAGACCTTGTTCGGGCTTAACTACCATCATTCTTCTAGCCACTGACATCCCCTCTCTACTGTCCCCCTCACCCCCGCAAATCCCGCAGGATCATGGGGCTGTATGTGTCGGTGGTGCTGGTGATCGGCAAGTTCGTGCGCGGCTTCTTCAGCGAGATCTCGCACTCCATAATGTTCGAGGAGCTGCCGTGCGTGGACCGCATCCTCAAGCTGTGCAACGACATCTTCCTGGTGCGTGAGACCGGTGACCTGGAGCTGGAAGAGGAGCTCTACGCCAAGCTCATCTTCCTCTACCGTTCACCAGAGACGATGATCAAGTGGACCCGGGAGAAAGACTAGCCCCTCCTCCACAGCAATCCCTAATCCCTGATTCTACTCCCTCCCGCCAAACCCACTCATCTTCTGATGGGTGTCTATATCTAGACTTCTGTTTACCTGTGTCCCTGCCAACCTTCCCTAGTGATCTTCATGGAACTCATGGGCAGGAAATATGGACACAGCCCGGGAACGGAAGGCTATACAGGCACAGGGCTGAAGTTGCACTGCGGGGGAGGAAGGAGGACAAATCGCAAGGCTGCCCTTGACTGCATTGCATCCCTCCCCCCTGCTCCAGGTTGAGCTCATCTTTTTCCCTCCTTTTCTAAAGTCTTGCACCTTTCAGCCAGGTTAAGCGGTCACCCAAAATGGTCGGGAATGTGAAACCCAGTTCCCGGCCGCTGGCGTCACGCAGACGTGAAACTGACGGTATTTCTTCGTAAACCAAATGGTGGCCAAACAGTTGAGGTTTTTATGTCGGGAAGAGAAAACTGGACCTTTGTGGTTTTTCGGTCACTACAGTAAGATTTTCTGAATCTCCACTTGTAAGAACGAACAGTTAAGACTATGAATCCTCTTTCTATAGGATGTATCTCGTTAAAAGGCTTATTGTGGCTCATAAGGAAAAAACACTTGAATTAATCAATCTATTTCAATTATGATTTTTTTTTTCCACAAGGAAAGGTTTACTGTCTTATGTAAGATGTTGTTTAAAGACTGTATGGTGATAATTAGTGCAGTTAGGTTCTGAAAAGTCCTCTTGAATGCTGAAATTGCCAAACACCATACCGAAAAGGTTGACCTCTGGGAAATTACATGCTGGAAAAGTTTCATAATGCTTTAGGCGGAAAAACACTTTAAAGCAAATGCCAGTCATTGCTCTTCCGTTGCCAAATATAGTAACACAAAGCTTGTTTGTTGTCAAAACTGCTTCCTGAGCAATACCCAGTATAAAGAGAGGGGGTGAGCATGCTGTTCGTAATGTAACCCGCTATGGAGAACTCCTGTCCTTTAGGATGGTGGTCGATGTACCTGTTCAAGGGATATGCATATCTCAGTGATCACTTCTGGCGAATCAGTAACAGCAGTGCTATAAATGGAAAATAAATGGACATTTCAGACTTAAGACCGAAAAAATTGTGTCTGAGTGAAGTAGTGTGTCAGGGACCTGCAGTCTCTCCCAGCAACGGCGTTGCTGCTCTACCTGGAGTAGTTCCAGTACAGTACCCATATGAATATTGCTCTGAAGCTGCTGAGAGGCTAATTTATTATGCTAATTTATTAGTTTTAATGAGAGCCAATGCCACTACCCACTGTAATTCTGTCTTTGGCGTCCCTGCCTGGGACAGACCGTAGACTCCCCTGTGATCTACACTATTCCTGAATTTCCCGCTGGAATCGACAAAGTTTGTCTTATCTTACCGGATAATCAGTAAGATTAATACTATCTAAAGCTCCTTCCTGTTAGCTTACTTTTCTACTTGCAATAAAAATTTCAAAAATATCCCAGACAATACACTGGAAATATAAAATGGTACAATGCAGCAATATTTAATTGGTTTTACAAAAGTAACTGAAGCGCACTCTGGAATTTAAATGCATAGTTTAACACTCTCCCCTGTTGGTGCCGGACTTGTGCCTCCTGACCCCACACCACAAAGATCCAAATGACGCCAGACACAGAAAGTCCAAGGAAACGGCCTCTGAACTGTCCCAGCTTTCCTCAGGGAGTCCTCAGCCGTCATCCTCCTCCAACAGGAATTCAGCGATCTCCTCCCTCATCTGGGACCTGAGCAAGGACAGCTGGGTTTGCCTGTGGCTCACCGGCAGGTCGGCCGTGCACACGCGAGCGGTTTCCTCATCTCGTCACGCGACGTTTCATCCACTGCTCCGTTGCCGTGAGCAACAATACTGCGATATCCGCTAAAGGCTTACCTTTGCATCCGGCGTGTCGCTTCGGTTAAAATATAGGGGGGCAGGCTGTCGACAGCCGCCTATGGGAGACAGGAACACAGCGAAACACGTGACGCAGAAACCGTAACCCTCTCCATCCTCTTTTCATACTATGAAGGAGATGAGCCGCATCAGCACCCAGCCGCTGGAGGGAGGAGATCAGCCAGTCTCACTTACCGTGTCTTTGATGGTCAGTCTGCAGCTGTAGCAAAGCAGGCTCCCAAGCTCCGGGACGCGGCCCGTCCTGCAGCAGAACATCCATCAACACTTACACTAACACCTGAGCGAACCCCATTCAGCAGTGCATGTGCTAAAGCTCGTGTTAACTTGCTTAGCATAAATCTGCCCCACGCTAACAATGAAGAATTTTTGGGTCAGCTGCAATGTGTTCAAGCCAACAGGAGATGGCCTCAAACTTCAATGCAGAGCTTGGATACATCCTAATGGTGTTTTTTGATCTGTGTGGCTGACATATCACTTGTACTCATGATTCAGGGGAACCAGACACAGACCATGTGACTTACTATATAACCTCAACCATTGTTCTGGTACTAAAATCCTATCCATAACTTGTGTATTACATTGCTTTCTAAAATTAGGATAAAACCCACCATATATTGGACATCTTGTCTGCATTTTACATCTAATACATGTCTAACTTAAGCTTAAACTTAACTTAACCTCCCATGTAAAAGATTTAGTGTAGGCTTAAGATAAATGGTACTTCTGAAGGGCCTCAACAAATTGCTAATCTGTGGTTTACACTTAACTCCCAGCTAATGCAGTGCTGGAATTTATTCTATAGCCATAACAAAACTGAAGGGTGGTCTTAGCACAGCTCAAAGCATCACACACCACAGCTGACCCATTAAAACCGAATGTTTGGTCTGTCCATAAACATTTAAACTTCATTAGAAGTGATGGAGGTTCATTCCAATGAGGAACGCTGCCAGTCAGACCACATCTTGTCATCTGAGGAGCCACGGGTTGCGTATGTGGAAGGTCCACCTGTCAGAGGAGCAGCATCCATCTGTCAGTGCCCCGCAATCTTTGCCCTGCCGCCCCGTGGAGGAGAGGCAGCCCTGTTTGGGTGGAGCCGCCTCGGAAGGGAGCTTCTGGGAGAGCTTCTCTGACACCAGGGTGGCATGGAAGGCGGAGGACTTGTCTGCAAGGGACAGCAGGAGGAGATCAGCGACAAAGGAGGAAAGGACACCTGAAGAAATGCAGCCCAATATAAATTTATACAACTCCCAGGATATTTTTAAGTAGGGGGCATAAATGATACAGAGGGGCCAACCTTATTAGCCAATGATGTGTTTTGAATCAGTGATTGACAGGGGAGGAGGCAGGCCCAGCTGTGGCCCCGCCCCATTTTCACTGTCATTAAACACACTTCCTAGCCAACAGGACTGCAAATCAGAGCTCCACTCTGAAGCACCCAGACGCACCAGATGTGGTGTCCAACGGGCACATGCACAGGAGGCACCGGGCAGTCAGCCCAGCATCGCGGTCCTGGGGCCCACAGGCCGTTTGAAGCTTTTCACTTGTCCTGGTGAGACATTGAAACAGGTCCGTCTGTGCCAGACTATACCCTGCGGGTACTCAGGAATCCCCATGAGCTTCTGATTCGTGCTGTACCTCCCCCGTATGAGTCAGCACTTCGTCTCCTTCAGCACATTCCTCCTGCCATCCCACCCCTCTGAGGTTTTACTGCCCTACCTGTAGATGGTGCTGACGGTGGAGGGGAAGTCGGTCTGCAGTCTGGTGACGAAGCTCTCGGTGAGGTGCTGGATGCTGGCCTTCTCAGAGACCTGGCAGCACAGACAACACACACACACAGACACACACAGACACACACACACACACACACACACAGACAGCCTGGGCAATTCTGTCGGTTTTCCACGACCATTTTCCACCATTACCCATTTAAGCGATCATCCAAATTCATTCCACAAACTGTTGCGGCAGTCAGAAAACATACTTAACAAAATACAGCCACGACAGCATAACATTTTATAGAGGGGGAGATTCAGAAGTGGTACATTTGATATATCATTGTAGAAAAATACCAAAAGTATGCATTGTGGGCTCATAATTGGTAAAAGAGGTCAAACTTTGCAGGTAAAATGATCCACACAATAATCTGCTTCCAATTAGGCAGAGAAAAACATTTCTCTTGTCATAGCCAGTTGTTAAAATCATTTAATATTTTGGTGAAGTCTATCCCATCAATATGCCACAAGGGGGCAGACAAGCTGCACAAAGATAAGATGCTGCTTTTTTTAAAAAAAAAAAAATTAAAAATCATCTAACTCAGCATATGCAAAAATGCCTGCTGCACCAGTCCAGGGTCATAGCCCAGAGCAGCAGACAAGGCTTGAGCTCCACTGCTCCATTCACCCATCCAAGGCAAACCTTTCGGGCTTCATGGCTAAGTAACACTCAGGATGTCGGGGACTGCATCTCTAAGCCTCAATTATCATGGTGGTTTTCATCATTTAGTAGACAATCTCATCACCTGAACGCCCCCCCTCCCCCTCCATTACTCATGTCATGCAAGCACACAGACAAATCTAAAAAAAAAAAAATGATATGACGCACCTTGGTGTCGAGGCTGGGGATGAAAACGGACGCGACGCCGAACATGCGGTTATAGAAGGCGATCTCTTTCGAGGTGTAGTCCCTCATGGGCCGGACGAGCATGATGTCCCCGTGGCGAGGGTCTGAGAAGCCCTGACCACAGAGCATGAAAGGTTTCAGCTACGTCCATTAACAGACACACCTGGGAAGCTAAAGGCTGCGGAAACACATTTAACTGATGACTTTATTACAAAAGATTGCGGTTAGTATTTATACTAAAGAAGCACATTTAGGCATTATTCTATCCTATAACTCAGACTGCAATAATCCACCTCACATGCCACTGTCTCCCGCATTATAATTTTATAATGTATGCTTATATGCACAATCGCATTGTGGCACATTTCACACAGCATGTAAGATTAGATAAACTTTATTCATCCAAGGACGAAATTCTTCTGCATGCAGTAGCGAGGTAGGTATCATGCAGACAAACATATAGTGCAAAACAAGACAAGTAAACATAGTGCAAACAAAGTTACGAAATATACAGTATGCAAACAAAATATTAAGTAAACATATATAAATAAAAATGAATGGAAGGCATACGTGCAAGAAAAAAAACAGCACCAGACTTTTCTATTGAAGAGCAGGACACATTTCTATGTTTCTAAAGAAATAATTCCCTGTTTTATTAAACAGTAACTGACTGGGCGGCCCACATGGCATGACGGTGGTCAGGGTACCAGTATGCCGGGCCACGTGGCCAAGAGAGCGCCGCTCACCGTATCTGTGGCCAGCGATGCCCCTCGACCCAGAGCAATGTTGCCGAGCAGCTTGACGGCCAGTCGGGAGCAGCTGTCCCCCATCATGACCTTGGCGTAGCTCTGTGTCCTCGCCGTGTGCACGATCAGGTGGTGCCTGGTCCAGGACAGGTCCAGAGGTACAGCAAGTGACGTGCAGGCATAGAGCCCAGCACAGCCCCAAACGATCCTCACTTACACACCCGGGACTCGAGAAAAAAAAATAAAATCTCCTATGTATTAAACCACAAGCCCCATGTCATGCAGGGCAGGGAGGTAAACTGGACAAACACCACAGCTAGTTGCTGGGAACAGTGATGTTGCATTTTGACTTGGGGCTACTTTGTGCTTTCTGTCCACCATTTCTCCTGCTTGCAGTTTTCATTAGAACATAAGAACTATACAAATGAGAGGAGGCCATTCGGCCCATCGAGCTCGCTTGGGGAGAACTTAACTAATAGCTCAGAGTTGTTAAAATCTTATCTAGCTCTATAGTTTAACGATGAGGCGACAATGCCCTGCCTGTGTGGGATTCATATAACAGCTTCATCATCTTCCAAATTCTACATTTTCATAACTTCCATAATATTACCCGAAAGGTCAAAAGGGTCATCAAAATCGTCCAAGGTCACTGTACCTATAGCGATATAATGAGCGACTGCCTGTTCGGGGAGGACTAAAACTCTCACTGCGGAAATCGAACCTGAGGGTCATCAGCAAGTCCTCTCGGGCGGTGAGCGTCCTCACAGAAGAAAACAGCATCTCCAGGGCCTGGGACTGCTGTGAAGATGGCATCTCCTGGGAGTGCTGTGAAGATGGCACCTCCATGGTGCTCAGCTGGGCCAGATGCTGCTGGACATCCAGCACAGGGTGACCCCGGGGCTGGGTCGGCTCTTCAGACGGACCGGCTCCACCCGTGCTGCCTTTCCGGATGTACTGGTCCACAGCGCCCTTGTAACTCCCATCGGTCCCTGTGGGGGTTGGTGAGGCAGCCTCCAGGACGGATCCTGGCAGACTAAACACCTGCGGGATTCATTCATAAAGATAGATAAGATCAACAGGACATGAGCCAGGTCACCACCCAGGACAGAGACCCTCACTGGGCGGCTCTCCAACTTCCTTACTATGATGAGTCAGGGAACAAACAGTGATAATGAATATCAGCAAAATTACCCGCAAAAGCCATGTTTTCACTGAACCAACATTTCCTAAGCACCTTATGGCGTTATATATGCCACCCTGATTGGTTACTTTTAAGTGACACGAGGACTGACATGTCACACAGGGTTCTAACCTGGAGTTTAAGGTTAAGAGGATGGAATGGGTCCCTCTTGTGGCCATTTTGTAATATAACCGAACAAAGGGACTGTAATTGAATCATTCCAGGAAACATCCAACTGAGTAAATGTGCATAAACTAACTCACTCTTGGTGAGCATCAGCTTAGAAGCTAAACACGAATGCATTCCAAAGCTTTGTACACAGCGACAAGGGCAATTCACTGGACAAAACAACATTTAGGGCTCCAAACCGATTACTTATCACTGAGCAGAGAACCAAAATCAGCTCTCTGCCCTAAGAGCTTACCTGCTCCAGGTGGACTATATGGATGGGAAAGCCAGTGGCTTGGAATATGGACTTCAACTGAGCAATTGCCATCTGTCTCTCTTCCATGCTCTGGCCAGTAGCCCCTCCCTCTTTAAATTAAAAAAGTGAAGATTTGTAACAGAAGTCAGTTGAAAAAAATATACATTTTAAATTGGGCATGATTATATGTCTCATATAGCTACGAAAATGTGCACTTTACCATCTATATAGACTATTCCAGGAACAAATCTTAATTTCTTTGGCGTATCTTGGCTCAAACCCTGAAAAAATACGAAAAATTACTGTGTGCATCAAACCACACAATACGAAAACAGAAAGAAAATTTAAGCATTGCGTCACGCAATTAGTACAGAAAATTTATACAAACTACTATCTATAAATTAATAACCTCCTACATTTGACAGGCCCATATCAGGTAACATAGGTCATGCATTCACATTTAGCCTACAGATGAGTGCTATAATCTATATTTAATTTATATAATTTATAAATCGAGTAAAAAAAAATCAGGATGAAACTAGGAAAAGAAACTGTAAGAAATGTTTTCTGCACAACCTGTTGGACCTGCGCAAGCATGGAGCTGGAGGCAGGACCACCGGACACGGCAAGGAGAACCTGAGTAAGACACGGATAATCGCAACAGAACTGTTAACTATGGTAAAAACACTCCGGGAAGCTCGGATACGGCTACATCCTACCTTCTCACCAGGAAATATGAGACGATTCTTTCCCAGCATGGCGCGAAACTTATGCACAAAATACTCCTTGAAGCAGCCTCTACATGATACAATGGGCAAAACTATTAGTGCACATTGGCTATAATTAAGACGAGGCATTTATGATCATGTTCAATTTAATGAATCATACTGGGTGTAATTTACTTGACTTGTAAGTTGTTAGAAGGGTAAATGAAAACCGTGAATCAAATGATAGCTTGAACTGAAGCTATATATTTTTTATTTTTAAAGGAATGCACAAAACGAATTTAAATTGTACTTAAAATTTTGAAATTTGTAATAGGAGTATAGAGATCATACCGGCAAAAAGCATCTCCAGCTCGGATAATCAGCGCAGCACTGTTCGATTTACATTTCATACACATCTGAGAGACGCTGTCGAACAAACAAATGATATACATAATAATATAACTAAGCCATAAACATATCAGGTCGTTAATTCATAGATTTATGCGACTGCCCATATATAATCTGACATGCGTGCCGTGAAGACACAAGGGAAGCAGGATTATTTCAAAATGAATACGCACCATGGTATCGTGCTTTTTTCCAAGATATCGCCGTAGTTTTCGTCTATTTCACACATGGTCAGACGTTGGCAATTGTTCTAATTTACTTACAATATTTAGATACCGTATAAACTGTTAAAACTCGTTACACATAATCATAAAACGGTACCCAACAACCTATTTAAATACACACACGTAGTAACGTGACAGCTTTCTTCAAGAAGGTATCTAGCGTCGCCGTCTGATGACGCATGACGTGTCATCGAAAAACCATCAGTTTGCTTTTCCTTGACAGTAAAAAAATAAGCGATTTCTTATTATGTCCTGGTGGCTTGATTAAATGATCATATTCGACATTGTCAAGTTCAAGTCTGACCGTGACGCGGCAACGATTCTATAGTTTATTTAAAGCGAGGGAAAGTGCCGACTAGCGATGGTACTTGGAATAGGAGCAGAGACTTTAGGGATATGTAGTCCAAACATGTGGGTATTCTACAGTCGATAGAGATCTGCGAACACCAGTACCCAGGTAACCTTTCGGCTGAATGGCTCTTAAAGGTTTTTTTTGTTTAGGAGAGCCACCTTGTAATGTTTACTTCTTGTCGTGCTCGGCGTGCATTCTTCGTCGCTACGTAGCTCTCGCGTTGCGGGATTGATACCGGGTGCAGGAATTATTAACCCCCATTTCGACACTTCGAGTGTGCGGCACCCGTATAATTTTCGTTCCGCGAGTTTATCCCGAGGAGTGATAGGAGCGAACATATATTTATAATTAGGAGCGAAGTAAGTAACATTAAGGTTCATGATGGCGATGTTCCGCAGTTTTGTGTCGGCTACACAGTTTAGGCATCACCATCAGCACCAGCAGCAGAGCGAGGCGGCTGCGGCCGCTGCCGGCGACAGTCTGGAGAGTCAGTTTTCCTGCCCCATTTGCCTGGAGGTCTATCACAAACCTGTGAGCATCGCGAGCTGCGCCCACACGTGAGTAGCCCGTCCAGCGGGAGTGGGGGAAGCCGACACTTCTTTGTTGTTTTTCCAGAGGTCTCAGCCTTTCCGAAGGGCAGTGTGCGCTGGAAGTATTAACACAATATTAAGGCAAAAGATTGTCCAGGCGTAACACTGCCTTCCTCTGTTTAAAAAGACATTAAAGGATCACGACGGGTTGATAATCATTATAAAGATTTTTCTGGGTTAGGAAATACTGCCCCGTCTCCGCTGATGAGGGCTGGGAACCGAACTGCTGGACAAAGCGGCATGTTTCCATACTGTATTCCTTTGTGTGCTTAAGGGGAACAACACCAGTCTTACTTCGAGCAGTGCTCCCTGTATTTAGCAATATTACAAATGCTATAGATTTCTTACTGGAATTTGTTGTTGACTGTATTCATTATAATAATTATAATAAATAATTACGCTTAGTTTCATTTATTAAAAAAAGACATATTTCCTGTACATTTCCGTGCATTTCATATGATGTCAACATAGCATTACGAAGTCTTTAATTAAAAATCCTTTGTGTGATGCCGTACATATCGGCCATTCTGTGTTCATTTGGCCCTTTAGTTGCTAATTAGTTATATAGATGGACAGTAGAACATTCTAAAAAAAAAAAAAAAACGTCGATCTTTTAAAGGTGAAAGGGGTCGGGCTTGGAAATAAGCGAAGTTTAATTGGATTAATAAAGTGCAAAACAAGAAGTGTTAACGGAAAGACGTGATTTGGGCACAATCAAAGCGGGATGCCGTGGATACAAAGGGGGAAATGGTCGTGTTATTGCACGGCCGGAGGGGATGCATATATACGTGTCTGGCTTTGACAATGATGTCGAGGGGACGGCGGTACCTTCCCTTGGGGTTTTACCGAGTTTAAGCGAATGACTGCATGGAGCGATCCTTGCCAACCGAGATAGAGATTTTGCGCTTCTTTCCCACCAGTCAAAACAATGGGCAAAGTTACAGTCGGAGGGATCCATATCCTTAACATGTCCCAGTCTGTTTGTATTGATTTTTTTTTTTGGATTAACACAGTTTTTGGCCTCCGTGGACTCCTGAAGGTGACCAGGAGCAAGATAAAACAGAGAAATTCTCTACGCATGTGTGCATCATGCAGTTTGCCCAGATTTATAATCTGCCATGACAAACACTGAAGATAACATGCATGATTCATGTTTTAGAATATGGCATCACCGTTGAGTAGACTTCAGGAAAAGAAGATGTCATGGCGGCTTGTGGTAAATCAGTTTGAATGCTCATGGTCTGATAACCTTTAATGTGTCTGTTTTTCTTCATATCAGTGTTTTATTAAAAAGGTGATTGGAGTAATTCACAGTTATAAACTGCCAATCCAGGTTGGCAAGCAGCATGGAATGGCAGCTTCTACCACTGAATGCATTTCATTTATTTTTGGATCATCATTATAGGGGGTGAGGTGTTTTTAGATGATCAGTGGTGTATTACAACACTTGTCAGCTGTAATCTTGGGCAGGTATTAACCTTGCCGTTTGTTTATGCGTTTCCTGGGTGTAGGGAAATGAGTCATTGCTTTTCACAGCAAAAAAGAGAGTTTGAAAAGCTCCTCTCGTGCAAGGACTTGTCCAAGGGCACGCTGGGTGTGGTGTGGGTTGTGGGAACTGCCTTGGGTTTACGGGGTGTTTGCAGCTGAACACTGGCCAGAGTCTCTGGACAGTAGCTCTTCTGGACACCTTTAAGAGAGGTGGTTCATAACCTACAATGACCATTCTTGCCTTGGCTTGAACATTGGTGTCGGAAATGAGTGAGGCAGAGATCAGTTCTCGACACAATTCCCTTGTCCTCAGTTGATCGCATTTTTTCTTCTCTTTCTTTCCCCTTCAACTTTCTCTATATCCCCACCTGCTTTCAGAAACTGCCATACTAGGTTATCAGCATGATTTAGGCCAGGGTTCCGCGATTCCGGTCCTGCAGGGCCAATTTTGCAACACAATTTGCAGATTTCCCTGCTCAAACACGCTTTATTCAGCTCACCAGCCAATTGCCAGCTTTAGTAGGTGTGTTTGAGCATGGAAATCTGCAAAATGTGTCAGAGTGGCCCTCCAGGACCGGAATTGGGGAACCCTAATTCAGGAATTGCATAAAGTAGGGAAAAAAAAACGATGCATGTCTTAACAAGGTCAAGGGCAAACTCTAGTTAAGTGTCAGCTCTGCATGGATTGCATGTGATCTCCATCCTCTAAAATAAAGCATTTTTTTTGCCCTTGAATCTCCAGTTCAGTGATGGTAATGTTTAGAATTGGCTGAAATTATGTCTCTCTGCTTTCGGAGCCAGTCAGACTTACTCGCATGAAAGTGCAGAAACGTCTCCTCTCTGACGAATGTGATCTCTCTGCCGTGTTTATTTTGGAGCAGGTCTCCTTCGGTGGATCGAGAAGCTTGGTCACAAAGGAGCGTCACAGCACCGTTCTGATGAAACATCACGGCTGTCAGCCGCCGCTTGCCAAACGAACATTTTGTTCTCTTTTAAGGGAATAAATTTTTGACGAGAAGGAAACAATGGAGGGAGAACTCTAATCTGTCATCCTGGTAGTTTGGGATTTGAGCCCCACCCCTCTCTGATTCTGTCATCCTGGTAGTTTGGGACTTAGGCTGGTTTGATCTTCTGTTGCTGGTTAGTCATGTTAACAGGTTATAGGTGCTGCCTGGGTATGTGACCAAACACTTTGTCAGACTTTGGTCTCTGTTGGTACGTTTGCATATACACTAAGAAAACTGAAGTATTGCCTTAGTCCGACTATATCTGGACTTTACATGTAAACATGTTAGTCCCACTAAAATCGTACTAAATCAAATTTCTCAAAGTCAGACTAAGACATCCAGGTAATGCGATTGGGAGTCAATTTACTCCTGCATGTATATGTTCAGTCAGACTCAAACTGGCCTAGGTTCTCTGCACATACTCCACAGATTCTCCCCCTGGCTTTGACCCGGAAGTAACAGAAGAAGTCAGTACACAGAAGAAGCTTGGAGCATAGCAGAGAATGTACAGCACGTACGAAATGTCCAGCGCTGTAAAGCTGTCCAATTCACCGCTTAACTAAAGGCCACTTTTCCACTGCACCAGGTGCCGTACTTTTGGTACTTCGAGAAGATACCAAAAGTACGGTACTTCAAGGTGTTGGTTTTCCACTGAGGTTAAAAACTGGTACCGGCACCAAAAGCCATAACGACACGAGGCGGGGTATTTTGTACTGAAATTGAAAAATGGTTCTAGTTTGACTAGACGACGTGCACATGCAATTCTTACATCGCTGCTCAGATAAAGATCAGGCTTTTTCTTACCTTCAATTTGGTACAGATATTATAGCGCAATGATAGATTTTTTTCTCCCTCAGCAGGGAGTTTGTCTTGGTAAAATATTTTTACTCTGTCGAAGGAAAAAAATCTTAGCAAGTTTTGCAGTTTTAATGATGATTCCTTTTCAAGATTTTCTAGCATATGTTTTAAAATCAGTTTAAAGTTTTACCTCCATTGCTTTTTGCAGGAGCGCTGCATGCGTTCTCCAAGACTATCATAATCATTTTTGTCCTTGCTGTTTAAATCACCCCTAGACGGGTTTGTGAGAAATTTATGTTGAACTCCTTTTTTGTTTCATAAATACCCCAATATTCATTATAAGAAAATCAGATTGCAATATTTGAAATGTTTCCAATACCCTGATGTCAAAGTATTTTATACAAAACACTTTATTTCTTATTATAATTTTCCTGATCTTGTTGTATTTGTTCTTCCTGCCAGATCGCAATTAAAGCTTGTATCACAACATTTGCACATTCGCATCCATTATTATTTATTTTATTTTATTTTATTTTTTACATCTGTGACTTAATAGGTCAACAGGAAAAAGCTCAATACTAACAAGCTGAGCCATATCGCCACCTATCTTACCGGAGTTGGACATACTTCGGTTAATAAAACGATTCCCCTCCCATGCAAGTATACTGGGACAAGGACAGTAGTCCGATTTAATGGCGTAGTTGAGCTATAACCATAGCTTGACTCCACTGTGCACGTGAACCCCCCCTCCACGCTGATAAAGAGGAGGTCTTCCTTTGTTCCTCCTTCATCTTCCTCCTCTCTTGGGTGTCTATGGCATCCTGCCCCACACACAATCGTAGATTGAAGGTATTTGTCTCCAGAGATCTTCTTGGCCTGAGGTATCCCTTCATCAGAAATTACCTGTTGCGTTTCCAGAATCTTCTCATGGGCCAGTCTGCATACACATCACCTGACCACTACTGCTAAACTGCGGAGCATTACACACCAACATAAGACTACTGCAAGTTATGGCATTGCAGTATTTTTTTGAGAAACGTGACTTTAAATGTAGCTGGTTTTCGAGTGAAGTTGTGAGATCTTCACTTACCTGAAGTGTTTAACACATGTGAATTTCGATCCTGTAGAAGTTTTTGTGTCTCCAACCTTTCAGACCAACAGTCAGAATATCATATAAACTGCCAAACTTTCTACAAGTCTTTCTGTAGAGATGTAAGACTGTAAATTTACAGATGTCATAACAGTTGCTCTACTCTCGAGGGGCCCGTCTCTCTGGTATCATGGTATTTTGGGGATTATCGGTCTTCAGAGGGAGCTCCAGACACTGGCTTTGGTTGGCATGGTGCCCGGTGCCTCCCACCTGTGCTTGTGAATGGCTAATGAATGTGGTTTGAAGGCCGATCTGGATGCAAGTCGTCGGCTGTGTGGTTCCTGACGGCGCGGCGGTGAGAATGTCGCAAAACGCTGCATGCACAGGTCTCCGCTTCTGATCTACCGTAGGAACCGTGTTGCTGCTGTATTCACTGTCAGTTACCATTTTTTTTATACCATTCCGATCAGTGTATAAGTCTTTTAAGCCCTCAGTTGTCTTTTAAACACTGAATAATGTCTTGGAAATCATATTTTTGGGTGGCTGCTGGTATTTATGTTTTAATTACCGAAGAGGCCAGTTATTATTGCCAAGGAGAAAATTGTTTGTGTAGCCCACAGGAAAAGGATATGCAAATATACTTTTGTTCTATTTTTCAACCGATTTTCCAAAAGGGATAATAATTAATGGGAACCCAAGCGGCTCGTGCAATAAAGACACGTGTCCCATGACTGAGGCCTTGGTCTTAAGCCTCAGCTTTGCTATTGGTTGGTGGTAACCGGGGGGAACCTGGAAGGTGGGGTTTAATTGGCATCACTGTGCCGGGGAGCAGAGGTCTGCGTGATAAACGTGTGGGCTTGTGTCTCCCGGGTGTTCTGGGCATGGACATGTCACACTTTGCCTTGACGTGTCCCTTGCTGGGTGTGACAAAAGGTGACGAAAGGATAATGGTAGTCATATGGATGTCCCCAAGTGGATCAGTAAAATATGTCTGTTGTCATGTTTTTGTTAAAAAATATAATGAAATGTCTTTCAGTAAATTGAAATTGTTACTCCTGAGTATGAAGATGATACTGAAATACCAGAATTCCTAAAAAAAAAATGAGATTAGGTCAAGCAATTGGAGCTTCAAAGGTGGGACCACATGTGAACTGGATTCTGTTTCTGTATGGAGCAGAAAGGTGTAGGTGTTCTGGGCTGTTCCCACCAGCATCTACACGAGTAACACATGCGGTTCCGTCACACCTGCGGCTGTTTAATGAATGTGACAGCACCCCCTCCCCCCCCCCCCCAATAGTGAATCGGCTTCCTGCTGAGCTTGAGAAATATGTTCCCCCTTTTCTGGGTTTTGTCTGTGAGGGGGGGGGTGCATCATGGGCTTTCGTTTGTGAGGCTTCAGTCTATCAGGTATTTCAAATAGAAAATCAGGGAGGGTTAAAAATAGATAGATGGATAAATGAATATATACAGTACATGCATGCACACACACGCACACACACATACACACGCATGCACGCACACACACACACACACACATACATACACATGCATGCATGTACGCGCACACACACATACACACACAGATGCATACACACATACTGTTGGAGGCAAACTGAAATTATCACCTTCTTTTGAGTGGTCAGGGAATACAGCATTACCCTTGAACTACAGTGCATGTAAAAACACAGACAAATGACAAAACTATAAATATCACATTACATGAAAATGTGTTTCTACATTTCATGGTGAGTGATCTTGGTCTGGTGATCCAGTCATTGGAGGCCGGGATCTGGGAAGAGAGCCAGTAGATCCTTTCTGTAGGCCCTGTCCCAACCCATAAAGCCTGAGCGTTTTGTTTTATTACACAAATGCAGAGATAGCCGCGTGTAACGTGGATAAAGCCCAGCGCGTGCTGGCAGAATATTAAAAAGATGTGAGGCGCTGGATATATGGCACAAATTGCGGTAAAGTCTTAGCGATGTGGGGCATCACCTCACTGCTGATGGAGCCTCTCTCTGCTCACCACCTCCCGCATCACCTCCCGCATCACCTCCCTCACCACCTCCCGCATCACCTCCCTCATCACCTCCCTCATCACCTCCCACATCACCTCCCTCACCACCTCCCGCATCACCTCCCGCATCACCTCCCTCACCACCTCCCTCACCACCTCCCGCACCACCTCCCTCACCACCTCCCGCATCACCTCCCTCACCACCTCCCGCATCACCTCCCTCATCACCACCATCATCATTTCCACCGTCTTTTGAAATGTAACTTATTTGAAAAATAAATAAATAAAAAGTCTGTTCTGGTTCGTTGTGACCTGATTATACCTGTCAATTCAGAGGTTCATGTTCAGCCTTCCTGAAAAAGGGGCCATTTATTCCATTCCTGACTTTTGAAACAGATATGTGCCCCCGTGTTTTGTGGCACTGCTTCACCCCTACACCTGGGCGTCTTTTAGCAGTAAGCGATGGGGGCTGGCAGTGACCTTGGTGCGTCCGCAGGAAGTACCCACACCAGTGCAGCTCAGAAATGTGCCTGCCACTGTCCGCTGAGCTGGCTCTCCCTCCCCCAGGCTGTTCAGTATTTTCTCTCCTCCCTGTTACTCTGGGATTTTCCTTCCCACCTGAATGTTCTAAAACACTGCACACTGCACACTGCTCACTGCTCTGAACCCGCTTTGTGGGGCCACGCTAGGTTCATTTTTTTTGCTCTGCTTTTTTTTTTTTTGTAAAATACCGAAATTAAAAGCCTCAACTACAAATATGTCCCTCGTATCCTTAGATGGTTTATAAAACAGCTTTTATTAGCCAATTTCTGCAACATTTTTGACTAGAAATGTGTTGCTGTATTTAAAGGGATTTGTTGCAGTTATGAACTTCCAGGTTTTATTGGTATTGTAGGTTGTGTGCAACACCCCTAGTAATTTTTTGGTGATTAAATAATTCTGGTTGTGTGTGTGTGTGTGTGTGTGTGTGTGTGGGTGATATTCTTCTTGCTTTGTTTGGTAGATGATGTGTAGCTTTTGCTCCAGTGCTGCTCACACTCGTACCTGGACATTCACTGGAAGCTCAGCCTAGCTGCACTTACACCTAGTCGACTTCTTGACAGCTGTATGTCTGTAATGTACCATTTGCCTCACCCGTACGTCGCTTTGGACAGAAGTGTCTGCTGCATAAAATAGATGGTAAATGCATTTCACGCTTGATCCCTAATCATTTGCTTCCTGTATTTCGGTTCACTGTGTCTTATTTTTGCACTGGCGTTTCTGTGGTGGCTCCACAGTGTCACGCTTTGCGATGTTTCCTCGTCACTCGTGCCACACACCTACATCAGATGTCGGCGTCAAAAGCGCGTTACATGGCTCGCTGCGCGGGTTCGGGCCCCTGGGTCGTGTACAGAGTCTCCCTCCTCCTCGCACTGCCGTTACCCCCTTTGCGGAGACCAGCTGCAATAGGTCAATGCGCAGTGGAATAGAGAGGAGTCCCAAATAAGCACCGTACATTAATTAATCACAATAAAAGCTTCAGCTACTAAAATAGATCCGTGTGCTAAATTAGATGTTGGCCCTGTATGATCTGACCTCCTTGCTACACGCTAACTGTATGTTATTCTTATTAAAATTTCCTGTCCTCTCCGAGGGCCCCGCTAAGGCTGAGCTAAAGAGGGTAGGAACATTTTGCAGGCAGCTGATCCCTGGGCGGGTATCGTAATGTGGAACATCGCTGGCAGCTGAAAGCATGCGCTCCGTCCCCAGGAGGCGCTGGTGGGTCACGAGCTGAAACGCGGACAGCGGTCCCTGGCGTTGTGGTCTCGCGGCTTCGGATGTCCTTCTCTAGGGCGTAAGAATCGACAACAAGACTAAAGACTGGCTCTTGGGGGAGGTTTACAGTTTATATTGTGCTCAAACGGAATAATTTAAGGTATCTCCGCCACCGTGGTTTGAGTTCCAGTTTAATCCGTTCATGTGCAGCGAACGCGTGATGATTCCCATCTGCCTTTAAGTGAAAATAGGTTTGTAGGGACGGCTGTGGTGAAAATGGCAGTTTTTTTTTTGTGGGGGAGCGTGGGGGGGCAGTATTTGTGGATGGAGCGCCGTCCCCCTTCCCGCGCTGCGCGCCCACCCGACAGACAAAGGCGGGCTGCGGGGGGGCTGCGGGGACTCGCGCCCGGAACCATTGTCTCCCCACGTGTGCGTGGGGTTCCCCTCTCTTTCAGGCGGGCTGTGAAACTGGGGGGGTCGCGTTGGACAACAAAGAATCCAGAGGCGTTTTTTCCACCATTCATTTTTTGGCCTGTTTTTTTTTTTTCTCCCCTCTAAACTCTAAACAATATAGTTTGCAGTATTTCCGTTTTTTGTCTGAAAAATTTCGAGTTCATAAGCCTTTTTTTGTTCTTGTTGTTTTCTGCGTTTTAAACTGAAAGTAACCAAATATAAAGCCAGCGTGACGCCTGACTTTTGCTTTGCAGTCGGCGAAAAGCACTGGTCCCAAGTCGTTGATGCTGACCAGGGTCTTTCTCTCGTCCTGAGCCGTGGCTCTCTCTGCCTCCCCCCCCCCGGCTTGGAAAGGGGTCCAGCGGCATGTGCCACCATCAGTTCCCCCCTAACCTCTCACCACACGATTTTGCTGAGTGACAGAATGATAAGTAAGATCAAACAGGGTGGAAACGGAACAGAGTGGAACAGAAGCTTTCGGATCGTCACGAAATTGACTGAGAGGTCATTTGAAATCGGTGGCCGATTTAAGCTGCAGTTTCTTCTTTTTATTTTGGCTATCTGGATTTTTTTTTCTCCCAGTACATGACGCACTGGCACACAAACACGCACTCATCCTTGTTTATTTCACTCTTTTTTTTTTCCCTTCCTGCAGGTTCTGTGGGGAGTGCCTGCAGCCCTGTCTGCAGGTCAGCTCGCCGCTCTGCCCCCTCTGCCGCATGCCCTTTGACCCCAAGAAGGTGGATAGGTCCTCCAATGTGGAGAAGCAGCTCTCCTCGTGCAAGGCGCCCTGTCGGGGCTGCAATAAGAAGGTAGGCCGGGCTGGGACAGCTTCGCCTGGGGCGAGGGAGGGGGGCAGAAATGGAGAAAGTGGGTCGGGGCTGTCCGCAAGGCAGGGTAGGCGGTCTGCGAGGCAGGGTAGGCGGTCTGCGAGGCAGGGTAGGCGGTCTGCGAGTGGTGCCAAGCTCCGGCCTCAGAGGAGCTCCCAGTCTATGAGGGATGTCGTGACCTTTTGTTTGGTGACTAATTTAGACGCAGGAGCCATGCGAGGAGGCGGTCCTGCTAATGACTCGGGTTAATCGAGTTGCGAGGCGCGGATAATGAGATCCGGCTGTCCTGGAATCCTGGTGCTCCATGTCCCGGACCCGGGCGGCCTCCTCTGCATCCCCCCCCCCCCCTCACCTTGACGTGTGCTTCTCCCGACCTTGCCTCCAGGTCACTTTGGTCAAAATGAGGTCGCACATTTCGTCCTGCGCCAAGGTCCAGGAACAGATGGCCAACTGCCCCAAATTCGTCCCCGTCGTCCCTACGTCTCAGCCCATCCCCAGGTAAGGTGTCTCTCCAGAAATCTGAGCGGCGCATTGAGGCTGGTGTGTTAAGCGTGGCTCCGACGGCCTCCCTACACCAGGAGCACCAACTGGAGGAAGGGAGCTGCAGCATGCTGGGCGCATTTCATGCGTGATGGCAAATGTCAGTCCTGGCAGCAGAAATGTGTGCTGCGTTTACAGGAACAGTGGGAACCATTCCGTAAAAGCCAGCAGTGCTGCTCCTGTCCACACCTCCTCCTGGTTAATGAAACCTGGTGTTTTTCCGCCCCCCAGCTTCGCTCCGCGTTAACACCCCCTCTAGACTCCCACCTCCCCTGACGGCGCGTTCGGGGACGCCTTCCATTTTGCTGACTTTGCCACCAGCAGAAATCCACCCAGAAGGCCAGCAGTGAGTGGGATGACTGTGATCCTGCTTTGCATTGTGTACAGAGAGTCTGGAGGGGCGGGGCTTCTGCCAGCCATCCAAGATTAATGTATCACACACACACACACACACACACATGTACTCTCTCTGTCTCTCTGTCCCTCTCATCTGAATTCAGCTCAGTAATTCTTTTTGGCATGGCTCTATACTTATTGTTGCCAAAGCAAATTTTCTGAGAAATGTGTTAATCACCTTCTCCAATATTGATTGCAATTGCAATAAAAAAAGAGCATTGTCGATGTATACACACATTGTATAAAACGTCTGCATTTTTAAATATGCACTTTTTTTTCCCAGTTCATTCTTATTTTTTGTACCAGTTCTTCCTCATTGTAGAAGCAGCATGTCAAACTGACAGATTAATACACGATGAATGTGGTAATTAGTGAGAATTTTCCCCCTGCATTCCGGTTTCAAAAGGCTAGAGAAAAATCTCCTTTTGTTTTTGAGGAATTCTGCTAAAAAGTTCAGGGCCTGCAAGCTGACAGTCTGTTTTTGATCTGTCACTATGATCAAGAAGTACAGTCAGGGGCGTTGCTAGAGATTTTGGGCCCCATGAAAGCATATCATATTAGGCCCCCCAGTCCAAACCAATCCAGTTATTTTCCTAATTTTTTAGGGCCCCTGTCACTCAGGGGCCCTTGGAATCGTCCTAGCTTTCCTCCCCCTTACGGCACCCCTGAGTACAGTATAAGTAAAGATATTACAATTGCTTTCTTTATGTTAGGCGATACATTCCTCTAAAATTAGATTAGATTCGACTTTATCATCATTGCACAGTTCTCGGCAACAAAATGCAGTTTGGCAACTATTCTGCAAAAGCACTAGAAACAGATGTCTGATTCTTACATGTGTAATAAGTGCATAGTAATCCAGTGGTATGCCTGGTGTGATATAATGAATATATATAGAATCTATGATAAAAAACTGAAAATTCTGTACTGTGTGTGTGTGTGTGTGTATTTGCGTGAACAATAAAACTTGAATATTTTTGAAGCCAGAAGATCTAATCTCCCAGACACATAACCCAAAAAATATGTAAACAATGCTGAGAATGATTTGGATCACATGTAAGTGCATGCTATATCTTAAAATAATAAATAATTATTATTAATAATAATTATTATTATAATTTTTAAAGCATAATGGCAAAAATGCTAAATGTTTGGCCATTAGTACATATTTTATATAAATACAAACATATATTTTATTTAAAAAATACATTTTTATTAATTAATTAACTTTATTAATTTATTAATCTTTGTCTCACGACCAGCCTCACTCCTGTGTTCGCTGTCTTTGTGTTGTGGAACCTCTCCTTTCTCGCAGTCATGTGACCTGCAGTGTAGACCAGGTGATCCATCTGCAGCCAAACGGGTTTGGGTCAGGCCAGTACTCGGATGGGGAACTAGGGAAGCTGGGTTTCTGCTGGAGGAAGTGCTGGTGTGGCCAACAAGGGAGTCCATCCGGGGGGGTCAGTGTGGATTGACGACAGTTTTTCTATGGACTAATGTATCAACTGTTTTACTGATTTGGTCGATTAATCTAAACGATTAATTTTCTTCCAGAAAATCTAATTAACAGTTTAAGTTTTATTTTGAAACAACAAACTGTGTTACAGCACTTTAGATAATGGACACTGGCTTTTCATCACTATACAGACATTATTTTCGCCCACAATTCCATAAGCAGATTAGCAGTACGTCTGAAATATTAATGAGATGCGTATTGTGACTCCCAGAAGTTAATAATCTGTATAAATTCGACATAACCTTCTGTTTATTAAGTCTGGTTAGTGAAACACGCCACACACTACTGTTCTGGTAAATCTTGGAAGTGATATGTACTGGAATGGCAGAGAAGAAAGGGACAGATCAGCCGTGAGGTAGAAAGGTGCTGTTGTGGTGGCACTTTTGCAGGTTATTAGATTATTATTAGCGCTGCCATGGTACGCTGTCGAATTATGCACAGTATACAAACCACCTTTTTGTTTAGTGATCATTTGAACTACTCCCATAATTATGTAGTGATATTGAAGGAAAACATTTGTTTTAATGAACTGAAGCATTTTATAAATCATATATGTAATTTCATTAAAATAATTTTAAAAAATAATGCATCGATTTTAAAATATTGATGTTGACACATTTTCAGCATCAACATCATGGACAGCTACTGGTACCATCCCTAGTGGTTTGACAGGCCCCAGTGCAGCGATGGGGACACTGTGCTGTAACAATGGTGCTGTTCTTTGGATGAGACCTACAACTGAGGTCCTGACTCTCTGCGTTCATAAAAGATCCCTGGGCATCTTTTGAAAGAGTAGGGGGGTGGTACCCTGATGCCCTGGATGAAAACTGCCCACTGTGGCCCCTTCAAATCTGGCCTCCTAATCATCCCCTATATCTAACTGGTGAATTCACTCCTGCCCCCTTCTCCACTTTAGCTACTGTGTGGTGAGCGTACTGGTGCAGAAAGGCTGCCATCACATCACCTAGGAAGGCGTTACACAGAGGTGGTGCTTGAAGTGGCTCCCCATTGGTTCTGTAATGTTTTGGGGGTCTTGAAACGTGCTATGTGTAATATTCATTCATTTGTACCTTTTCGGTGCTGTTAATTTTGCATTTGTGATTATCCACAAATTTTCACATTTGTCAGTGACTTCCACCCCCTGACCTTCTTGAATGGGAAAGAGAGAATATATACACTCACCTAAAGGATTATTAGGAACACCATACTAATACGGTGTTTGACCCCCTTTCGCCTTCAGAACTGCCTTAATTCTACGTGGCATTGATTCAACAAGGTGCTGAAAGCATTCTTTAGAAATGTTGGCCCATATTGATAGGATAGCATCTTGCAGTTGATGGAGATTTGTGGGATGCACATCCAGGGCACGAAGCTCCCGTTCCACCACATCCCAAAGATGCTCTATTGGGTTGAGATCTGGTGACTGTGGGGGCCATTTTAGTACAGTGAACTCATTGTCATGTTCAAGAAACCAATTTGAAATGATTCGAGCTTTGTGACATGGTGCATTATCCTGCTGGAAGTAGCCATCAGAGGATGGGTACATGGTGGTCATAAAGGGATTGACATGGTCAGAAACAATGCTCAGGTAGGCCGTGGCATTTAAACGATGCCCAATTGGCACTAAGGGGCCTAAAGTGTGCCAAGAAAACATCCCCCACACCATTACACCACCACCACCAGCCTGCACAGTGGTAACAAGGCATGATGGATCCATGTTCTCATTCTGTTTACGCCAAATTCTGACTCTACCATTTGAATGTCTCAACAGAAATCGAGACTCATCAGACCAGGCAACATTTTTCCAGTCTTCAACTGTCCAATTTTGGTGAGCTCATGCAAATTGTAGCCTCTTTTTCCTATTTGTAGTGGAGATGAGTGGTACCCGGTGGGGTCTTCTGCTGTTGTAGCCCATCCGCCTCAAGGTTGTGCGTGTTGTGGCTTCACAAATGCTTTGCTGCATACCTCGGTTGTAACGAGTGGTTATTTCAGTCAAAGTTGCTCTTCTATCAGCTTGAATCAGTCGGCCCATTCTCCTCTGACCTCTAGCATCAACAAGGCATGTTCGCCCACAGGACTGCCGCATACTGGATGTTTTTCCCTTTGCACACCATTCTTTGTAAACCCTAGAAATGGTTGTGCGTGAAAATCCCAGTAACTGAGCAGATTGTGAAATACTCAGACCGGCCCGTCTGGCACCAACAACCATGCCACGCTCAAAATTGCTTAAATCACCTTTCTTTCCCATTCTGACATTCAGTTTGGAGTTCAGGAGATTGTCTTGACCAGGACCACACCCCTAAATGCATTGAAGCAACTGCCATGTGATTGGTTGATTAGATAATTGCATTAATGAGAAATTTAACAGGTGTTCCTAATAATCCTTTAGGTGAGTGTATAATGTGTGTGTATATGCTGTGAAGATTTGTCTCTGCCAAGGTTCCGTTACTCGGCTTGACCCCCCCCCCCCACACACACACACACACACACACACACCTTGTCTTGCCTGGCATTTCCCAGGGATAAGTGCTGCTTACTGCTGGCTGCTTCCAGAAGGCGATGCCTCTAATATCAGCATTTAGTGACGGGGGACGTCGGCTGAATTCAGCTCTCTCTGCGTGCTGCTTGGCGTCTTCCTGTACACCCTTGGAACGCTTTTGTGAAACTCAACACGCAGGATTTCAGCTGAAATGTTTGTCCTATTTTGCCAGATCTCGCTGAGCCGAATCCTAATTGGGATTTCGGTTTGTACTGATATTTTTTTTTTGATAGCTTAGAAGGCCCTTCATGTTTTTTTCCGCATTTGATTTGTAGGCAATTTTTCAAATGTGTTAAACATTTTTAAGCCCAGATGTAGGTCACTTTTTTTGTTGGTTTGCTGCTTCAGTGTAATTGCGGTCATGTCTCTCAGGACTAGCCCTCTTTTGGACTTTGACAAAGTACGTCTTTTTTATCAGTTACCTGTCAGGACCCAAAGGCTGAGAGGACCACTCTCACGCAGCCCGGCCCAAATGACCCCAGAACCAGGTCATCTGCATAAAGTTAAACGCTCGATGACTTCAATATGCACAAGTTTGTTCCTGTTGTTTTGCTGTGTTTTGGGCACTGCAGCCCTTACTGCTTCCATGAAAAAGTCTGTTACTTTTATTTCTGTTATAATTGCATGTTAGCTCTGTATACATTGACAAAATGAGGTCATTGGATTTTCTTTCCCTGTCAATTATCTCTCTCTCTCTCTCTCTCACGTGGCAGGGGTGGATATTCAGTTTGCTATGCCTACTCAATACCAATATACAGACTGTTTTGGGAAATTGGAATTAAAGCTCATCCCAAGATTTCGCATTACAGATCCAAGCTCGGCCATCTGGTGGCCACCAAATGGATGGGATTTTTTTTTTTTTTATGTGATGTGGCAGGATTGGTTCCCCCAGCGTCTTTCAGCTGGCAGGGATGGGGGCACCGTTAGCCTTTACCACATTGGGACGTTGCAGGACCCCACAGCTCTCACGAATTCGGCAGCAGGCACAGAGCAGGCGTGCTCGTCGTCACGGAGACTTGTTTCTCCGCACCTCTATTAACATTTGGCATTTCTTGGCTGAGGGATGGCATATGTGGCCCTGTGTGTGCAGTCTTCTTATACTGCATCTGTGTGCTAATCTTTCGAAAGATGTCTGTGTGTTTCTGTGTGTGTTCCTAGCATCATGGGACATGTGACAGATCGCCTTGGCACACATTCTCTTAAATGCAGGTGGAACCTGGCCAGTGTCCACTTGATGGCGCCGTGGTGAACGTCACTGTGCAGTTCCGTTTGTTGGGCTCCTAGACCACCTTTCTTTTGCTTAGTAAAATGCGTTGCATAGCTAAGGGTCTGATCAGGACGGGCCCTAGGCATAAGCGAACTAAGTGGCTGCTTAGAGCCCAGCGGCCACCAGGGGGCCCCATCATCCCATCGTCCTGACAGAATGGGAGGGAAGCAGACAAATGACAATTAGGTTAATCACATTCTGCTTCGTGCCTGGAAAAGCATTGGGCCAGTTGTGGGTATGACGTAGGCAACCTTTAGGAAGGCAAGACGTGAGGTCCCTGGAGGCGAGCTGAATGACGAGAAGAGGTTTTGGGGGGGTAGTTTCGGCACGGCTGTGCGGTTCAACAAACGACACATACCCAGTGTTGGCTAAACTGAAACGCTGTTAAACCTTTGATGGCGGGGCTCTGGTGTGTTAACAACTGTGTTTCTCCATCCCCGTAGCAATATTCCCAACCGCTCGACGTTCGTGTGTCCATACTGCGGCGCCCGGAACCTGGACCAGCAGGAGCTGGTGAAGCACTGCCTGGAGAACCACCGCAGTGACCCCAACCGAGTGGTGAGCACCCAGGGGATGCTGGGATACTGGAGGACTGGTACCCAGTGTTATGGGATGCTGGGATACTGGAGGACTGGGAGGCGGGGTTATGGGATGCTGGGATACTGGAGGACTGGGACGCAGTGTTATGGGATGCTGGGATACTGGAGGACTGGGACGCAGTGTTATGGGATGCTGGGATACTGGAGGACTGGGACGCAGGGTTATGGGATGCTGGGATACTGGAGGACTGGGACACAGGGTTATGGGATGCTGGAACTCCTAAACTGGGGCATGCAGCTGGGTGACTTTACCATGGCAGCTGACTGCAGTTGTCCTCCAGGATTAGACATGGGTGTTTTGACCTGGGGCCTGTATCATGAAGCAGGATTTCTTGTTTAGCCAGATAACTTGTCGGATTTAGGGTACCCCAGTTTAAATTGAGTTCATTCACTTACATTTAGCTCAGAATGCCTTAAATCCGATAAGCTAAACCTAACTTCGTAATACAGAGCCCTGTCACACTTTTTGGTCCAACCCAAAAAATATTCTTTACCATGTTCCTATAATGAAATGTCACTCTGTGTAAATGGGCTGGAGCAGTGAATGCTTGGTGTTTTCAATCGCAGCAATGTGAGGGTGCCGATCGCTTTATGGTTCCTTTTTAAAGCCCAGCAGGGGAGCTGACAGTCGGGCCGCTGACAGAGCACTCAGACCTGCAGTGGTCTAGTGAAAGTAATCAGCGAAATGAGGAGCTCAGGCGCGTAGCGCTGATTTTACAGCCTCATGCGGCACACGCGGCCAGATCGCTGGTGCCAACAGCAGCCTGGTGACGGAGCGGCCCTTATCCTCCTGTGCCAGGTGTGTCCTGTTTGCGCTGCCATGCCCTGGGGTGACCCCAGCTACAAGAGCTCCAACTTCCTGCAGCATCTCCTGCACCGGCACAAGTTCTCCTACGACACATTTGTGGTGATTATCTCTTTGTTTTCCTCCCTCGCTGAGCCATTTTGTATTCCCCCCCCCCCTCGCAGTGACCCACCCACTTCAGTCCTTATTTATTCCGGCACTTTGAGCAGGTGTGCATATGTGGGCGGGGCCGCTGGGACACTGCCCCCCAGCTGAAAGCTGATTGGCCTGCATAGTGCCCCCTCACGTGTCAGTCCAAATTCAAAACATATCATTGGCTAATGATAACCTTGGCCCCACGGCATGAGTTACAGTCCTTCTTATGGCCCTGGCTCTGAGGAATGCTTCGCGCTCTGTGTTCGCAGGACTACAGCATCGACGAGGAGGCCGCTCTCCAGGCAGCCCTAACCCTCTCACTGGCGGAAAACTGAAGATCGCTTCGCTTAACCCACCACCCCCCCAACCCCCCCTCCACCCGATTCCATCTACTGTCCGGCGTCTCTCCACTCCGTCAGCTGGGGCCGTATCCGTCCCATATATACCTACTTACCTAGTGAGTCCTTCCTCCTCTCCCACGACAACAAGCGGCGAGTGGGTGGTCAGTCATGAGGTGCAGCCGCATCGGCAGAGCTTCGCGTCGCCGGAACGCGCCGGAAACGAGCGAGCCCATGTGACCTGGCCCGATGGATCTCTGCAGGCTGTGCATAAACTCACCCATTCTTAGTCCTGCCTTGGTTTTCTGCTGCTGCTGGTTCAGAAGAAGCACAGATTTGGTGCTTCAGCACCTCCCATCTTAACATAATGCAAAGATCTAGACTCATCCCAAATGAGGCCCTCTTATTGTGAATACTTGCACTCATTTTCTACATAAAATATAGTATTGTTCTTATTTTATAGTTACTTAAAAGAATAGCGACACATTTTTCTTCATAATGATGTTATCTGTTTTATCTTGCTATGGTGGATTTTATATGACACATGTGATAGAAATATATTTTTCAAAATGTTTGTTTCAAACGGTGCAACATCGACACAAAAGTAAAAAAACTAAGGATGTCTTATGCTATTCAAGTGTAGCCGCAAGTTCACACATGTAGTGGCACAGGTTTACCTGTAGAGGGCATCCTTATCCCAATATTCAGTGCATTGCTGGGAAAATGTATAGTTGTACGGACAGCAAACTGTTGAAAAGTTGAAATCAATTTATTCAAGGCATTGTGCATGTAATTCCCATATGTATAGTCATGTGGGGAAGCTTGATGTGTGTATTCCTGCTTCTGTGTTTACAGAAGATGGTTTTTGATCCCTCTGTTTTCTGTCTAAAGACAAGGGTTGAAGTTTATAATGCATATGGAAGTGGCCTAGTTTGTGCTGGGCATTTAGAATGCTAGTGAAATGTAGTGCACTGTGTGTGTGTTTTGGCAGGTTTGCTTGGAAGGGGATTGTGGGTGATACTGCCTGAGCTGGACCCGTGTGAGGCCTTGGGTACTGTTTTGTCTTCCTGGGATAAAAAAAAAAAAGAAGATTATGTAAATAAGGAGTGTGTGAGAGAAAATTTAGTCTGATATCTTTTATTATTTCTAACCCGCTGAACCTGTTGGTTGTTTGTTCATACAGGTAAGTTTAGGCCAACATATCTATAAGGACCCCTCCCTCTTCTTTTAAGGGACCACACTCCGGTCTCTCTGCTTCAGATCTGCCTTTCTGTAGGTCCCGGATCGCAGGTCCCAGACAAATTACGTCCAGTACATAGCCTGTTTTTCCAGGTGGACCATAATGGAGAGGGTGGACTCGCTGATTTCACCAGAAAGAAAATTAGTGTGTTAATAATGTCACTGTTCGAACATGTCAAACAGCCATAAAAGATGTGAGAAATGAAACTGCTGTTAGTCGTCCCTGATTGACGTTTAAAACGTTCTTGAAGCAACTGTTGGATGTTTTTATACCTTTTTTAATTACCTCCTAGTAGTACTACTTTCTGATTATTAGAAGGGTATACCTTTAATTTTGAGTAGTGTTCATGAATACAGCTGTATAAAAAATATTTAATTCCTGTTATTGTTTTGTTTGTTTTTTTTGCTTGGGTCATTTTTCATATATATCCTGACCAAACAAGTTCAAATCTACTGTTATCTAATTGGTTATGCTGTGTTCATGCGATCTGGTGGATGCAAGCCCCAGGAGAAGCTGCATCTAAAATAAACAATGCCAGCAAACATCCTTTCCTGTCCAGAACTGACACACTGTTGCATGGTTTTGTCAAGGAGTTAATGGGTGAGCATTTTGATGGCTAAAATGCTAAATGAAAGACTCAGGAAATCACTGCGAACACCAACAAACCTGGAGATGAGGTGCGGGAAGTCAAATGAGCAGCCAGGTTCTGCGGCAGCCTACACATTGTGATTGGCTGCAGGTCACTTTGAAGGCTGTGATTGGGTGTCGAGATGTGGGTGGGATAGGGCGACCAATCAGCGTTGCCCATTTGTATTTCTAATAAGCCAACTGGATGTTCGATCTGGGGGTTGCTGGTTCAAGGGGCCTCTGTTATTCACCTGAATTGTTGCAGCTAATAGGCTGCTGTGTACGTGACTAAAATGTTAACTTATAAGCCATGTAAGTTTTTGATAAGCATCTGCAAAGCAAATCTAATAAAACGCCAGTAAGGTCAAAGGTCCAAATCTATTGTCTCCGTTCACCCTCACACATTTTCCCACATCTTTCCGAGTCTCGTTCAGGCGCTGAAGGCCGTGTTCCCGGACATCCGGGTCCCTGGCTGGTGCACTGGGCCGCATTACTTCATCGATGTGCCCCAGTCTTTGGCCCACATCCATCGCTACTCCAGACTCTTAACACAACACTGTGCTTGATGCCGATGCAGAACTTGAGCTGCCAGAGGTAGGGAGGATGTCAGAGGAGCGGGTGGGTGGGTCAATGGCTGGGAAACCACAGGGTGACCCCGCCCACCTGCATAGAAGCTACGGCTGCAGCTCGACATTCAGAGACTCTAAGTTCATTTATGCATTCGTTGAATGATGGTTGGGGTTATTAATAATATAAATAATAATCCGGAAGCTGAAGTTGTATGCTGTTTGATAAAATACTTTATTCTGTATTTGTAGCAGTTTTCCTCAATAAACAGACTCATTCCAAGCAAACTGTCTGCTCTGTGTGTGTGTGTGTGTGTGTGTTTTAGTTTTGATGGTGCCACCTGCTAGCTGGGGGGTGGCGGATGTTTAAACATGCTACTTGAACATAAAATTGTGCAGAACCTAGATATTAAAGTCTCCGTGCTGTAAACAATAATTAGGTTGCTCTGTCATTGTATGTCATCTAAACTGGGACTCTTTTAACAGAGGGCTTATTGTTCTTACCCTACACACAGTTCAGTTATCCATTCATGTTGTAATGTTTGTTTGCGATGTTTTGTGTAAGATCAGGTGTGAGGTCATAGCCTCTTTGAACGAGTCTGAAAATGAGCCCGCTGCCATCAGGCTAGCTGCGGCACCCCCTGCCACCCCCATCGAGATTTGTGAAGGACTGGGGGTGTGAGAAGGGGAGAGGTGTGTCTGGGTGCACCAAGCTTAATTACCAGCACTGAATAGACTCCCAACATCTCCCCCAAAGGGGGAGCTCCTTTAACCCAAAGAATGGTGTGGGGGATCACCCAGGCCCCCACATGGACCATAGAGGCCTGTAAACAAACAATTGTTGCCAAGGCGATGTCTCCTTTTGGAGGTACTGCCCCTGGACAGTGAGTGGATTGGCTGCGGCGATGCAAGGACGCCATAGTGACGGGCAGGCAATGGCAAAGCATGCTGAGCTGTTTCAGACCTGTCTGGGGGGGGCCTCTGGGCTGAGAGCACCTGCAGATACTGGGGCAGCCCCCCCCCAGCCTCATCCTTGAGCCCTAAAGAAATGGGAGGCCCCAGCTAGATTAAGGAAACTTCTCCTTCTGCAGAAATTCAGCAGATATATCACTTAAAAATTGTTTGCAATGGTTCCCATGAATAAATTTCAACCTTTTTCAAGCTTGAAACATCAGAGCTGTTGGGTTAAAAGGCTTTGTGTCCAGGAAAATGTACATGTTGGCCAAATGTCATTTCAACAGCAATGAAACAATTACCAAAACTTTGTTCAGTCGCAGATTCACATATCCTCTATAATAATATGGATCTTTGTGATTAAAATGTTGCAAAACTCTGTGAAGTAGATATTCTAGAATTAGCGGGAAAACCAAAGATTGCTCATTAAGTTCTAGTAAAAGACATGATTGAGTATGACATTGGAATGACAGGCGATATCGGTGGAGTGCGAGTGAGAGTCTCTTGATTGGTGCTTGGGTGGGGGGGGGGAGACTGGGGCTTTTTGCTCCTTCATTCAGCTTCAGCCACCTGCAGGTCTGTGGAGGGGGGGGGGGGGCAGGAGGATGCTAAACAGCAGGTGAGAAGATGCTGTGTGAGAGGCTGCAAGCTGGGAGCAGGTGTGGCTGCCTCTGGGGTTCTGAACAGGCCTGGGAAAGAGGGGGCCTGGGGTTCCATGCCTTTTCTGTGGCGCCTGGGGGACGGGGCCCCATGGCGAGTGAAGTGCCCTAATTACAAAGTGCTTGGGTGTGAACCTGTGACCTTGGGCACTTGGGGCATTGTGGGTGCGGAGATGCACGTTGCCACGGCGGCATAGTCGCAAGCTGACGCCCCCGTGCGGGGGCTCCCGGTGGGCCGCTTCTGCAAGTGCCGGGCCACATTTGAAGGGGCCCCCCCTCCTCGTCCCACCACATTCATGCATCTGTCTCACCTGTGTGATCAGGACGGACGTGCTTGAAAGGAAACGGAGTCGTTTCAACAGCGTAATAAGACACCGGATTTTTGGTGTCTTACTAAATCAATTCAATTAAAACAATTAGGAATTTGCATTCGTTTAATGATGCTGGGGAATGGGCGTCTTCTGTCACCTTTTACCCACAAGATGCAGAGAGTATCTGCCCCTGAGGCACTCAAGTCGAGCGACGTGAAGAAGATGATGGCACTTGAGGCGTTTCTGAGGTGGTCAGGCACCCCCAAGCTGACCTCAGATCAGTCGCATCTGCTCCAACAGGCTACAGATGTGGCCTACACTGAAATGGCTTGAAGAAAGGATACTGGCGGCAGAGGAATTTTGAGGGGCACAGGGGCAGATTGGGGCAGATGAGGGGGCTTCCACCATTGCTCAGGTGCTGCGTGGAAACAAAGGAGATGAATAAAAATGAGAAATCAGCACAAGCTACCTCACCTACTGCTGTTCTGGGAAATGTGCTCTTAAAGAGATGGAACGTAAGTTTATTAAAGAAATATATTTTATGAACGTAGGTATAAATGACAGATTACATTTCAGTTTGACTATGTATGACTATGTCTCCTTAGAAGCACATAATCAGGCTTCCTGTCCACCCTGGGTGGTTTTGAAATCCAGAAGCACTCGTTTGTGCTGGTGTTGCATTTGAGGTCGACTCATCTTCATGGAAGTATAATATCACATCCATCCATCTTCCAACCACTGCTTATCCTGGTCATGGACGTGGAGGGGACCTAGAGCCCGTCTCAGGCACCTGAGGGCATACAGCTGGGTGCATCCTAGGTGTACTTTCAGTCCCAAATAGGGGCACATATTCACAGAAAAAAACACAGATCAGCTAAATGCATGTCTTTGGACTGTGATAGCAAACCAGAGTACCCACAAGTAACCCGTGCACAAAGGTGTAGATTTGGGTATGGATGGTAGGGACATGACCCTACTAATATTGTGGGAGTACCTTGTGTTGGGGTGTTGGAGCTGATTTGCTCCCTAGCAATGTTAAAACCAAACCTACACCCTTAACCATGCAACACAGGGAGTACAACTTAAAAAAAAAAGTTTTTAAGTCACTTTCACGAGTACTGGGCGAGCAGGGAACGAGGAATCAGGATCCAGGCAATGGAGATTCGAGAACGAGGGGTTTATAAGGCAAAACAGGCAGACAAGGCACAACACGGTCGAGACGTCAATGACGGAACTCGGGATACATACTCTGACGTGGACTTAAATACACAGGACTTAATGGAAACAACAGGAAACAGCTGGTAACAATCGGGATATCACACGAGGTTGAGGGGGGCGTGGCACACTGAGGATCAGACGATCAGGCATGACAGTCACTCTGATTGCCGATATTTAAATAATAAAATGATTGTTTTTTTCACAGATTGTCAGTATAAAGGGGATCCAGGATAGCAGATGACCTTCAGGGATAAACGCTGCCAATACAGTACTGAAAAAAAACAAGGTTAAACAATGAAATAGCGCCCACCAAAGGTGACAGCCTGGCAGACGAAAACATCGGATATTGGATGGAAAATCCTGCAAAGCTGCTGGCCCGTTTGAAAAGACCTCTAAATGTTAAGAGCCTGCACCTGTCCTGAGGCCTGCGGTGTTTTTTTTTCCACAACAAGTGGACGGATATAACCAGAGCTGGTAGTGGCGGGTATGGGTAACAAGTGCACACATTGCCCTCATACGCCATGTGTCAGCAAGTGGAGGCAGCCTGATATTTTTATTCGGCCCGCGCACACTGTGGAAAATATCTTGCAAATCTGAGTCGCAGCAAGGCTGGGGAGGGGCGTCATAAAAATATCCCCCTGGTCAAGACAGAGTAAGCTGGGGGGGTAGGGGACAAAAATAGCCCCACTTTGTCTTTGCTGCGCTAAAATCGGCACCTGAGATTGGATTACGGTATGGCTACGCAATGGAGTAGTCGTGGCTTTTTATAAACCAGTTGCCCTGTATTTATAGATATAAAAGTTAATATTAATATCCATATAGGAAAGAATATAGTGGCTACATTCTCTAGCTTTGACAATGTTGCCCTTATCTTTGGCTTGACGACAGTGTATGGGGCTAATGTGACCCGTATAGCTAGAGCCAGATATCCAGGTTAAATGTGCCTAAAGCTTTTGAAATAGATGTAGACTGACCTATACTTATTGCTTCGTGTTGTTTATATTGTTGCATGTTTGGGAGAGACACGCCAACAGTAATGGCACCAATATCCAGTTTGTGAGAACGGCGTCAACGCCTCTCACCAGTAACTATGATTTCTTTTATCGCTTACATTTCCATGCCTGTGTGGCTCCGCGGGTTTTCCTGGCGTGCGTGTCTCCAGCAAGGCCGCCAACCCCAATTGCTCCAGAGACTGGCTGACCTTGTTTTTC